CTCCTTGCCTTTTGCGGTTTAGGGTTTAGGGTTTAGGGTTTAGGGTTTAGGGGTTAGGGGTTTAGGGTTTAGGGTTTAGGGATTTAGGGATTTAGGGGTTTATGGGTTTATGGGTTTAGGGGTTTAGGCTTTAGGGTGAGTTTTTCTTTTCGAGGGACTTTCCTACCCTATAAAGAGAGCGAAGACTCTTTCCAAGCCCCACAAAGTGGCAGAAGCCAGGTTGATAAAGCTGCCTCAATAATTACTCACCATGTTCCTGAGGGTTCCCATTTTCATTTATTGTATACTTTACACTTAAAGACCCTATGCTAATCATTTAAGGACCCCAAACAGAAGCCCGAAACAACCTGCGCAGTACAAGGGGGAACTACAATCGAACTCTGAAGTTTCAGTCATGACTACCGTGAGGGTGTTATACGGATGCGTTTAGGGTTTAGGGTTTAGGGTTTAGGGTTTATAGGGTTTAGGGGAGTTGCTGTAAGGAATCCCGGCTAAGGCTACCGTAGGTTTTTAGGGTTTCGGGCGTGGTGCACAGGTTGAGACTTCAGAACAGCTGTAGCGGGTAGGTGTTGCGGTATGACTTAGGAGCCCAGTAGGTAAACTTTAAACTTTTTGGTATATTAAACCCTCACTAAAAGAAAAGTTTAAACTTTTTTGGGCCAGGGTACTGGGCTTCAAGGATGAGATAATCGTAGATGCAGTGCCCAAGGTGAAAACACTCAAAGGGCTTAAGTGCATATCATCTCAAGAGTTAGATCGTCGTACATATGTTGGCCTTAATGACTGTACTATGTGGGCACTCACACCGTTTGGGAGGGCTGTTGAGCATCTAGACCTTGGGGTGGGAAGAGAAGTACTTAAAGCAAGAGCCCTTATAGTTGCCCTGATAGTAGCCCTTGTAGATCGCTTTAATTGAAGGGTTGGGTGTAGGGTTTAGGGTTTAGGGCTTTGGGAAATCTAATTGAAACTGTTAAGGCCAGCATGTTGGGCTGGAGGACTTGACAGCGCCCTTTCTGGGTTCTTGTGAAGGGTTTTTAGTTTAAGTTTCCATAGTTAATCAGGAAGCCAAATCATTTACTGTAGATCCCTGTTATGGTACATAAGGTTCCTTAAGAAGAACCCTTACCCCCAAGCCTCGAATTTCCCTAATCTGGCTTTATGTCTTCAAGTGTGTGAGGGCTTGGGCACACTGTCGGGCCAGGGATCTCGGGTCTCGAGGTTTTGGGGTTCAGGGCCTTTGGGCTTCAGGCTTTAGGGTGTAGGGTTTAGGCTTCAGGGCTTAGGGGGTTTGGGCTTTAGGGTTTAGGGCTTAGGGCTCAGGGAGTTTAGGGTTTAGGCTTTAGGGTTTAGGCTTTAGGGCTCGGTTTAGGGCTACGATGGGACTAGAGAGTTTGAATGGAGGGAAGTGGCAGGTGTGGTCCTAGCTATCGCAAGAACTGGCACTGTCTTGTGGTTCGTCCAAGACACCTGCCTCTTGGCAGCCGCAACACTTCAGTTTGTCGTTTAGTTGTTGCGCTTGTGTTGGATCACCCTAAGCCTAGCTTTTTTTGACATGTAGTCGCCTTAGGATCGGATATACATGTTCGTAGTCTGCCTGACCTTGACTACGCTTGCTTGTAGGTTTTCAGTGGCTTTTGCTGCATGCTGTGAAGAGACCCGTAAACAAATCTTAGAGACTCCGCGTGTTCGAAACCGAGACTCCCCGTGGACACTCGTGTCAGGGCTTTCATAGGCTCCATGTAGCTCCCTGGGTTTAGGGTTTAGGGTTTTGGTTAACCAAGTTTCTGGCTGAGGTACGAAATTTAAGAAGGGAGGGCCCCCAAAAAACATGAATGACAATGGAGACTATAGGTCACCCGTAAGAGAGAGGGTTTGCTGGTTTTCGCAGTTCGCCAACTTGAAGCTCTCGATTTTCATCTTACCAGGTATGCCAATCTAGAGGTCGGTCTACTTTGCAATAGTCTCCCCCTGAGTGTCCTTCTATCAAAATACTCTAACATAGAATCAAAGTAAGCCCCCCCCCCCCCCNNAACTAAACCCTGGAACCCTAAACCCATAACCCCATGCAACACCCAAGTTTGAGTTTTTAGGCAGCTCTTGATTCGCGCCTCAGAAGGCCAAGATTTCAGGTGGGGGTCTTCCAGACTCCAAAGGCAGTAGGGTTTCGGTCTCTAGGGTATCTATAAGATTTCATCTACACTGGGCCTTTGCAGGTATGATCGGATTCATACATTTTCAAGGGGGCTGAATATACATCAACCAATGTAGCAACCTGATCAAGAAACCTTGGCTGTTAATTAGGGCTCTGTATATTATGAACCCTAGTATTTTGGTTTTTTAGGACCAGCGTTCCTTAATCAGGTTCCAACATTAAATTAATGAAGGGACCCTAAACCCGAAAACCCAAGCCTAAACCCTAAACCCTAAGCCCTACGCGGGGGCCTTGAGAAAGGGAGGGCTGCTGAAATTATACAAAGGGACGTGAAAGGGGACGGTTTAGGGATTAGGGGTTTAGGGCTTAGGGATCAGGGTTTAGGGGTTCAGGGTTGGGTTTAGGGGTTTAGGGGCTTCAAACCCTAAACCCTAAACGGGTACGTGTACTGGCTGCAACGCTCAGTTTGCGGATGCGGGAAGGTATGTCGAGTCCAGGGCATTCGACAACCTTGGGACGGTCTGTCTCCTCTGGAAACCAAGCCAAGAAGTCCGATGATTAGAGTTTAGGGTTTAGGGGTTTAGGGTTAAGGGGTTTAGGGTTTAGGGTTTAGGGTTTAGGGGTTGAGGGTTTAGGGTTTAGGGTCTAGCCCCGTAAAGCTTTGCCAAGCTGTAGGCGGTAAGCCTAAGCGGCCCCTAACCTAAAACCCCTGCGTAGCCACGACCTCTAAACCCTAAACCCTAAACCCTAAACCCCTAAACCCTGAACCCTAAACCCTAAACCCCTAACCCCTAAACCCTAAACCCTAAACCCTAAAACCATGAGCCTTTAAGCCCCAAAGCCCCGACATACGATGCTCAGAGCCACAGCGCCCAGGTCCCGCGTTGAAGCATGTAGAACCCTTAAACCCCTAAACCCTAAACCCTAAACCCTAAAACCCTAAACCCTAAAACCCTAAACCCCTAAACCCCTAAACCCCTAAACCCTAAACCCTAGAACCCTTAAATCATCGAACCCACTCTTCCTCAAGCCCGAATTTCTAATGTAGGGGCCTTAATAGCTAGAATAGGGTTTGGGACCGGAGGGCTCCTTTATAATGTATAGTTGAGGGTTTAGGGTTTAGGGTTTAGGGTTTAGGATAAGGAAGCCTAACAGTAATGTTGGTGATGATTTAGGCTTCTATATCGGACCCTAAACCCTCAAAGGCAAGGTGCAGGACACCGTCGACCAGAAAGCAGCCTGTGCGGCCGTGATCATAGGTGCTCCTCGGCTGGACCTGCTTGACTAGGTTTTTAGGGTTTAGGGTTTGGGGTTTAGCCTTTCGGGTTTAGGGTTTTAGGGGTTCGAAGTTCGAGGTATATAGCTTTAGGCTAGGTTTTAGGGGTTCAAGGTCGGATTGGAATGTAGTATGTACATATCATCTGTAGGCACATTGCCACATTGGTGAGTGTACATGTTGGGCGCCAGGATGGGGAGGGATGTTCGTAACTACAGTTGATGATCTGAATCCTGCATTACCCATAAGTAGCAATATGCCATAATTCCCATAGCTTCGGGTCCTTAAGGTCCTTAAGGTAATGCAGAATTTACATCATCAACAGTGTGGCATCTTCTTCATGCGGGCTTTCCGGGTTTTCCTGTGTTGCAGGAGGTAAGGTCGAGGACGTATAGGGTTTTCCACGGTTTCTGTGGGCCCTAACCCGGTCTCTAATTCATTAAAAATCAAAAATACGGGAGTCAGTCCCGGAAAAGCGTACCGGGATGGTCAGCTTCATCAGGCTTCTATATCAAGACCGCTGCACTGAGCTTAAACACCTGACTCCCTCCAGCTTGCCGCCTCGTACTTAAGAATTTTAGACCTTGCCAGCTCGTCCTTTCAAAGTCCAGCCTGCGACTTCTAATGCCAGAAAATGAAACGCTGCAGCCGTCAGAAAGCCAGCTGCGTTCAGCGATGAAGCCTCTGGCTCCTCAGTTCCTCATCCTCCGGAGTCTCATCCTTTAACCCCCAAACCCTTCCACCCGGTACCCTAAACTACGTGCCCAAGTAAGTACTGTTCTGTCTTTTTTGGGGCACCGGCAGCCATTGATAAAGGCTACTTGCACCCTCACAGCTACCCCAAACCCCAAACCCTAAACCCTAAAACCTAAATCCTAAATCCTAAACCCTAAGCGCTAAACCTTGAACCCTTAAACCGCAGCATTTCCTTTCTGCCACTCAGTTGTTTTCAAACCTCGGCTTCCTCATCTCGTTCATGTCTGACGGCATTGCGCAGTGCCAGAAGACACTGCCTCTCGGCCCAGCGCAAGGGCTTGGGGCTTATAGGGTCTAGGGTTTAAGGTTTCTGGGTGTAGCCCCAACTGTGCTCAAATCGTTCCTAAGACTCAGAATTACCCCTAAACCCCACACCCTAAACCCGTAAACGTGAACCTAACTTTTTACGGTTTGCACCTTTTCGGATGAGAGCTCAAGGGCTAGAGTCGTAGAGAGAAGTAATATAGGGGCCTAAATTCTTACCAATACTATTTTGGGGGGTTCCTTATTGTAATGATGGTATACTATACCCCAAAGCCCTTCTCTAATCATGAAGGCCCCTATGTTAAGCTTCCGGTGTTTCGGGTTTGGAGCGCAGGGTATAGGTTTTAGGATGTAGGGTTTGGGGTATAGGATGTAGAGGTTAACCTGAAATGGGACCCCAATGTAAGACCCTAATACTCACAGGATCCAAGTTGTAAAGACCATGGATGTGGCAGTCCCTGATGATCTTCGAAAGCCACTAAACCCTGAACCCTAAACTCTAAACCCTAAGCCCTAAACCCGCCAACGAACCCCTGTCCGAGATTTATCCAGGAACGTACCTGCACTTTGTGCAGCCAACGTCGGCAACATGATCGCGGTGCCTTCGCTCTGTCAAAAGTTAACGGGCGTACTACAAGGCTTCCCATCAGAGCTTTTGTAACGGCTCCTACAAGTAAGGGTAGCATACTGTTGAGGTAGATGTTGGGGATAAGCGCTCTGAACCTCGAACTAGGACAGTTGTTGTTCGCGCAAAAAGCAGCCCAATTTTGGCATGAGATCCAACCCGACAGGAACAACTCCAAATCCCTGAATGCTGCGCAAGCCTAAACCCTAAGCCCTAAAACCCTAAACCTAAAACCCCAAAAAAACTAAACCCTAAACCCCAAGATGGGCTTTGGAGCGCAAGCAACAGAAAAGGCCCTTAGACAACAAAAACTAAAGCACTAAACCCCCCGCCCCCCCGCCGAACCCTACGTCCGAAATTGGCCTTGGGGTTTAAGGTTTAGGGTTTAGGGTTTAAGGTTTAGGGTTTAGGGTTTAGGGTTTAAGGTTTAGGGTTTAGTGTTTAAGGTTTAGGGTTTAGGGTTTAGGGTGTGCTTGGAAGCCATGAGCATTAAGCTTTAGGGTCTACAATAAAACCATTCGGAGTCTCAGCTGCGATGCGAGGAGTGAGTCTGGATCTTGGAACTACTGGAGACCAAAACGGAGCACCGAATGCCAAGACGCCACCCCTGTTGTCGAACTGAACCCCGAGGTTCAAAAGTAGGCAATATACATGCGTAAGCTCCTAAGCCCCAAGATCTTGAAGTTAAGGGTGTAGGGCAACCCTTAAAGCACCATCATACAGCTCTTATGAAAGACCCTTGTACAGGGTTTAGGGTTTGTGGTTTAGG